CCCCTGGTGTAGTGCCAGCACTTCCCCGTGCAAGGGCTTACCATACACCAGATACCCGACCCCCAAGGCAATACTTAATATTTCTTACCTTGGTCTGTGCACAGAGTTACCGGATCGATTCTTAAAAACCCGGAGTGCCTACCTTCTTCCTTTCCCCACTACTTCACGGATCCTGCCTCTTTAACCAGTCTCGGGCCCTCTGTCAGCTCTCCGCAGAACCGCCACCGTCGATGCACAGGACCGCTGAAATCAGCGGGGCATGCCTTCCTGCTGCTGCGGCGGTGGGGCTCCCCAGTAGGTGACTGGCTCCCGGACGAGCCCCCAAATTGTGAGAAACACTCCGTAGCCAATAACTTAGGCTCAGGCGAGGATCTCAGTGAAGTAGTAATTTATTCGCGATTGCAATGGCGGGCGCCCCACAAGCAGGAGAGAGCGCATCTACTAGTTCCAAAACACAGTTTATATACCTTTTGATGGCAGGACCCTCCCCTGTTTCCCCACTGAGTGGGTAATCCAGGTTCACAATCTATCTGATGCTTCACAAACAATGCATGGCCTTCAGTTGCCGGCCTGTTAAATTTCAAATTTCTTTTGGCATTTTTACTGCTTGAAGTGGTAATGTTTCTTCACTTATCTGACTTGACTTGACACCGTGATTTTCACCTAATTGTCCTAAGGAGACTGGTTGTCTGCATTTTACAAGGTCGCCTGCTAAACTTTCTTATCACTGTAAGCATATCTCAGTACCACATTCCCTCCTTCTAAACAATGTAACTCTGCAAAAACAACATTTCTATTCCCACAAGCTCACACAGAAATCAGCTTCATGGTTTAAATCTATTATAATCTCACAAAACATATTGAGCAGCAAGACACAGGTGTTTCACGTTTAAGTCACTAATCACATGTGTCAATCACTATTTTAAATAGGAGCAGGGAGCACTCCTGAAAATCGAGAGACATCTGTGTGATTCTGGGATTCCTCCAAATGCAGCACTTGCTTGGCTTCAGCGTGAAAAGAGCAAGGGGCACACTGACCCTGCTTCCAGAGAGGATCAGATGTTTATTCCCTCAGCTAAGATCAAGTGCAATCGGGTTATAAAGCCTGAATATAGGGTTACCTGAAGGATCCCTTTTCATAGTGGGAAATCCTATCCTGATAGGTCTAGGAGAAGGAGGAAAAACTGTTCTGATTTGGAACAATCATTTCAATAGTAAGATGTACAGCCTTTGAGAGTGAGCTGCTATTCCCTTAACAAAATCATACTGGTAACAGATAGCTGAGATGAATTATTCCATTTTCATTATCCATGAACCTCATCATACATCATAAAAGGTTTGGGTTACAAATGAAGTGGTACAAGTTTACCGACAGTGATGGACTTCCAAATTTAAAAAAAAAAAAAAAAGCCAAGTCCTGACTGATAAAAGGCAATGCTGAAATAATTTAGTTAGCTAGAATCAACTGCTGAAAAGTGGACAAAATTCAAAGTATCCACGCTATTCTAATCAGCAAGAGCAGGAAATGTTGATGCTCTCCATGAACTAATAAAGAGTTCTTACTGACACTAACCGGATCAGTTATCACACAACATTCTCCTTCCTGCCAAGTCTCAAAAGCTCAGGATGGCACCAGGGAGAAACAGTAATAAGTATAGATATATGTGTGTGTGTGTGCTCTTTCTCTCTCTCACAATATGGATAACAGAAACTCTATCAGGCTCGACATATGTGATGTGAGTGACTTAAGCCTGATTCATGAAACAAGCAGCCACAGCTTTTCCAGTGCTCTTGGGGAAGGGGAGGGAAAAGCAATCCCTTTTTCTCCATTTTTCCCATAATTGGAGCCTCAGAGATTGCACCTTCCAAAAATACCATTGATCAAACTTCCCACAGATCAGTTTTGTCTAAAAAAAGTTGTACACACCACGATGGCAAGCCTTTTTGAACCACAGTTTAAGCAGGTAAAGAACACACTCAATTTGCTCTTTCTTCCCAAAACACTACAGCTGCAGGGTTGAATACAATGCATACTTTCTAAATCTAGACTCAGACTGACTCAAGAGAGCTGGTAACTGTGACACGAACAGAGAACAACCTTCTTCCTGAAAAAGCTGTCTTTTCTTCCTGCAAAAGGTTGCTATCAGTACATCATCTTAGCATTGGCACACGGGAACTCGTGCTATGAAAGGCCACCCGTCTCAGATTCTTCCTAAATATAACCCTATGGGACAAGGCATCAGCTGCGTTAGGAATAATGCTCTAATACAGCCCAACCTGAGCCTGGTCTGTAGGCAACACCGTAGGAGCAAACCGCAGCCTAGCTTTAGGAAGCCAAACACACAGACCCACCTAACAGAGCATTAAGCCAATTGTCATTAATGTTAAAGATGATATATGGCAAAAGTAAAAAAGGAAAATCAAGCCGGATGATAACAGAAAGGAAAAAAATATATATTTTATCAAGGCACCAACACCTTTCCTAGATGAATGTCCCTGCCACAACAGAGCCCTTGAGCAGCTCTGTCTTCAGCTCGCTTCTGGGCACAATTTATTTGCTGAACTCGGTCTCCAGTTACATAACCCAAGCCACCACTGCGTGGAAGGGAGGAAGGAATCCTAGCTATTAGCAGACAAACTGCAAAATAATTAGCTGGTATTGGGAGGGGAAAAGACTGCAGAGGCATTGGAGGGAACGGCTCTGGAATTCAAACAACTGTACCGAAGCACTTGGATAGCTAAGTGGAAAAAAATCCAACACATACCCGGGTTCTAAGAGAGTCCACAACAGTCTATCACGATCCTTCTCTTTATTAGGAAGCATACATAGCCACTTGGTTTTCTTCACTTTTTCCCCTTCCTTCTGTCCACACCAATTCGTAACACACAACTCAGGGGTAAAGTTTGGATCTAGACCACGCAGGAATACATTGCCTCCAGTCAAGTACGTACACCAAATGCAAAACCCAAGAAAAACACCACACATGCAAATGCACAAAGTTCACTGGGCAGTTTACTTCATTTCTACCGAATGACTGGGAGGATTTTTATGCTCGGGCAGTCCTGACAAGGAGTGTTTTAAGGGATGTATGTGAATTTTGCAGTAAATACTGCAGGAGGACAAGGACTACTTCCATGTTAGAAAGGAGCGGTCATGTGTGATAAGCATCTGCCTATGTTGAGGAAGGGGGCTGTGGAAAAAAATAGCATATTTGTTCTGGGGATACTTTCTAAATGTTCCTTGCGTGGCACTAGTCTAAGATGTGTACATGGTCTATACAGGGTCTATAAGTATCCACTTGGTCTATAAGGGGTCTATACACATGGTCTATATCGGTCTATAAGCAAGGAGTTAGCAAGAATTAGCACTCATACACATGTAAAAACCAAACAAACAGATTATTGAATATTCTATTTACACTATTTTTCCTCACTATAGCTACCTGGCAGTCTAAAGTAACCCTTATGATGAAGCATGAAACAACTACTTGCTTTGCTATTTAAGCACATCTACTTATTTCACATTTATGGACAGACAATGCCTGTTTGACAAATGTTGAGACAGAACAAAAACTAAACAAAACCACTAGTGTGTGTATACTGAAATCTAGCAAAGGCTTCTGTAATAAATAAATAAAAAAGCAGAAAGATACAACCCTTGCTTTGTTTACGGGCACTACATCTGTGATTGTTAAACCCGACTTGTACAAAGAGAAATATAAATGATATAATACAGACTAACGGGTTCTTAAAAATGAACATGCCAACGACATGACCAGAGTCCATATGAAGAGACAGGGAAGACATACATACAGAACAAGCGCTCTCATGACTGAACAGAAGATGATGGCATTTGATAATATGTACTCCATCACAGAGTTTTGATGAAGAACACGCAAAACTAATGAAAAAGGAGAAGGGGGAAACCAGAACCTTATCAAACAAAACTTCCACTTTGACAGCAAGTTTCTTTACAGGGCCCTACTCAAGCTCCACGAGACAATGGCAGGACTCCCAAATGCTGCAGCTGGCACTGGTCAGATACAAATTCCACAGAAGGCTTTGAAATGTCAAAATACACATGCCTAACTAAATATTTGCTTTTGGCTCTACATATGTTAAGGACAAAAGTTAAACAATGATCGCGGTCTCACACTGGCCACTAAGTAGCATCTAGATGTTAGCCTTAGCTTTTCAGTATCCCTCTTGTTCTGATGCAGTTGGAGGAGAAACAACTGCCCACATTGCTGTAGTGCTACACCTTAAATGGCTAATGTCAGTCTGCCTTAATAATCAAAACAATTCCTAATAGATATAAAAAGCTTATGCAACATTATCTTGCATAATGTCAGAGATGCATATGAGGATTTTAATAGAAAGTAAATACAGTAACCGCATGCTGTTCAGATCCTTGAATTTCACCCAAGTTGGAACAAACTCAATTTATCTTCAGTACAATTTTTAAAAGTCTGCAATGCCTGGGTTCACAGCACCACAAACAGGACACATAAGCAATATTTCTTATTTTACAGGTCAATACAATCACTAGGCTTCCCTCTCTAAAATCCATTCTTAAGCCTACCTTTGGAAGCTCCAAACTATTTTATTTAATTGTCTAATATACACTAGGCTCTACTTCATGTAAAAAGAATCAAACTCTACATCACCCGTAACTAGTCTTACTTTCTAAAAAGCCCTGATTAAACTGTATATACAAACTTCAGAACTACAAACTGCAGAACTAACATTTGAAAGAAATATAGAATTAAGTCTTTAGTAAGAACATACATCTAGAAAGCTAAAAGAATACAAATTTCTCCGCTCCTCTTTAAGGATTAAGTGCATTAAGTGTACCTATAGGCCTTATTTTTGGCTATTACATAAAAGCTCTAGAATTTACAGCTCTTGAATTAGCAAAGTTTTAAAGTGATTAGTAGAGCAGAAAGCTGTATCAAAAACAAAATTAGACTGTATTCAAAGCTAATGGAGTTTGGTTTTACCTGAAAATTAACATCTTCTTTCTTAAATATTAGTGCTCGAACTTCATCAGGATCTCCATTAAATATAGCTTGAACCAATGGTGGCTGAAATGAAGAAAAACATATCTTAAGAATATAACTCCATTCCAGTTTTTAGCAATACATGTATGGTGTTCTGATACAGACCACAAACACAAGATGAGGACAAAAATCAAACATTCCAGGCAGTGAAATCAAGAAACAAGAGGCAATATTTAGAATTGAAAGAATTGCAAACTTTAAAAAGCTCAGACACGCAAACACACTCTAAGTCACTGCAATAACCAATGAAACATACATATATATAATACATATATAATAAAATAATAATAATAAAAAAGACTAGCTTATAATAGTTGAAAATAGAACCTCTCAAAATTAGGGCTGTTATTACATACCATGAATTCTACACAATATAAGTAAACAACCCCCCTTTTTGCAATAGCGAGTGACTAAACTTACTAGAAATTTTTCACCTGTTTAGAAGGAGTGAGAAAGCAAAGTGCATCAGATAAGTATGGCAACAAATTCACACTCACACGCATCTATTACTAAATATAGCAGGATTTCTTAGTAAGTAAGGAAAGCTGCTGAGATATGCCAGCAAGATTTTAGTCAGTCACTTAACAAAATAATTTAAAGAAATAAAAGCCCAGTCCCCACAGCACTGACCATTTTGCATAAGTGATAGCTTGAATCTAACAATTACATTTAGATTAAGGCTTATGCTATTTTTCTGTTTTAGCTTATAGCCACTGTTGCTCAATGTACATTGTACACTGTATCACTTCTCAAAATAAACACAGCATATAATTGCAATATAATCCTTACATCAGTTTCTAAAGTGGTAGGGCATAAATGTACCACTGAGGAATGAGGAGTGGAGCGAGGGAAACACATTCACCAAGCCCTCTAAAAATCCTCTGCTGCTCTGCAAGCGTCGAGATCTGTTATTGCTGCACCATAAATAAAGTTACACGCAAAAGAGTGAGCCCCTGCAAATATTCTTTCTACAATGAAGGTTCAACTTTTTCCCTCTTTACTGTAGTCAGCGTTACTGCCTCATCTCGTTTCAACATCATGCAAGCTCGCATTAACCTTATGAAAGTTTCCCCTGGTGTTTGCAAGAGCATTATAAAGGAGAAATATGCCAAGAGACAACACGCCTTACCAGCACGTTTCCAGAGGGCGATGGACGCAAAGATATATTTTCCTGAGGCAATTTGGAAATAAACGTGGGAGCATCATCTTCCTCCTCCTCCAAAACAACAATACAGACCCGACTCATTCGATCCGTTTGGGGAAGCAAAAGCCAACAAAAAAACGCCAGCGACTGTGTTTCTGGGAGCAGGCTGCAGGTGTCACACCAGGGAGCGCATCGGGGGGGCTCTCACCTGCCTCACACGCACTCACCGACTCGCTGGCGCACGGCCGATTAAAAAAGGACATGGCAATCCCCCCCCACGCTTCATTTTTTCAGGCTGAACCCCCCCGGAGTCGTTCGGGAAGTTCTCCTCCTCAGTAAAACGCCGCGAAACATCGAAACCGCAACGGAGGGGCTGCGGAACAGCTGGTGCCAATACCCCTCGGTGCAGGCCGCTCGCGTCTGACAGCTCTGCCCCCGTGACAGCCCCGCTGTAGCCGCACGCCTCTACCCACACAGGGCTGGCATTGTCACGGGAGCCACGACCCCGCTGTGCCGAGCACCAGCGGGGAACAATCGCCCCGGCGGAGACGGCCGCGGCTACAGCCCGTCCTGCACCGCCAGGCCAGCAGCAGCGGGCTCTCCGCTGCCCCAAAACACACGCGGGCTCTGACCCTGCTGCGCTTCTACGGCTCCATCCCTCGGCGGCGAAAAGAGCCCGTCCCAAAAGGACATCTGCTTCCCAGCAGTTGCTCAGGAGGCGGAGAGAGGGGAATAATTCTTCCCCGTGCGATGGAAATATCTGCAATGAACGGCGAGGCTGCGGTACATTTACATGCGATGAGTCAGAGCCCGGGGACAATGCAACTCCTCGGATAATATCGCCGGTTTAAGCCAGGCTCCCCAGATGACAGGAACACGAACACAGTTTTTACTCCCTCAGCGCCACCAGCGATGAGGAGCGTTCGTCTTTCCTGTGCCAGGCAGCAGCCGTGGCTCCTCCATCAGGGCAGGCGTCAGGACGAGGAAGGAGGCTTCAGCAGAACGACCCAGCCACCGCACGCAGGAGCTCAAACTGCTGCCCGAGACTCCTGCTGCAAAAGCAGCTCATCACTCGAGTGGTTCTTTTGCTCACCACGTGAACGCAGTTCCCGTGATAGTCTTCATTCAGATTGAACGGAGGAAAAAAATAAAAAAAGGAAAAAAAAAATCAGGCTCCGTGCATCTTCTCCGAGCCAACTTCTTTATTCAAACAGCTGTCGCTGTGCCAACCTGATTTTCCTCTTCGGTTAAAGGTTCTGCTTATCAGTTGCTTGTTTTTTTTTTTTTTATTTTCCCCTGACAGGCTGAATTATACGATCAGCTTATACAAGCCTGCCCGTCCGAGCGGAGCACGACGCGCAGCCACGGCGGCGGCGCTCCAACTGAGCACCGACTGCAGGCTCGCAGGCTGAAATGCCTCGTAATGCTCACATGTCACACTCACACAGCCGAGCTGCTGCTCACAGTGCAACTTCCTCTGGCACACAAAAAAAAAAAAAAAAAAAAAGGAAAAAGGCGCCCTTTTTGGGGGCAGTCTTTGCAGTTACGCTTGTGCCAGCTCTGTGACTAACTGAGCCGAAAACGTAAAATTTCTGTAACTGAAGCAAGAGCGCCTGTTTAATGTTTTCCACTAAAAGCCGCAAAGAAATCTGGTGTTAGTGCCCTGCTGACTAACAAGGATTTCGGCAGTAAACAATTCCAGCTTTTAACTGCTTTCATATGGCACCGGACAGAGCAGCACCACAGCCCTTGCTTAACTCCTTGAAGACGAGGAGCTCCCCCCAAAAATCCCTCTGAAGATGAAATGAAAATAAAACCTCTCTTAACGCAATCAGGTGACTGCTAAAAGCCAGCCCTTAATGACCAAACCCACGGCTTTCTGCAATGAGCACAGACAAACATGCCCTGTCCCTGAAAAATATAGCTCAGGTATAATCAGGATATAATGAAGCCCTGCAAGTTGCTAAATAAATATTTCAGCTTGAATCTCCTGAAGCAGTGCTGGTTTGTGGGTGTATTATGTAAATGGCTGCTGCCAGAGTTGCTGGATAAGCTTCGGTGCTGGAGAACAGAGGAGGGCTTTGGTTGGTGCCGCGCTAGGTGGAGGCACTGCCAGCATCTTTCCAGGGCTGCTCCAATCTCCATTTGTCAGCAGAGAGAACAAGTTGAACTTCACAGCTCCTCAAGCAGCCATTCCTTCTCATATCTTCCATATTAATCCAGGCAGAGAGAATGGCAGGTTGAAATGGTGCATTAAGTGGGTTGGGTATGAAGAGACACGGTGAATTCCCATCTTTGGGGAAGGAAGAGCTCATGTCACCACTCCTTTAAAATAATGCCTACAACAGCTTCGCTGCAACAGAATAAATTGCTTAGGACCCACCTGCTGACAGCTTCACACAGATGAAGGTTTTTATAGGTGCACAGGAGTTACCTGGTCTAGGGCTCCTTGAGCTCAGGACGGTTGGCGTGGCAGAATATAGCTCACGTTTCTGATTCACTATGAAATTTCAGCTAAGATTCAAGTTTTCCAAATGTTCTCATTTACAGCATATGAATAACACTCAACTTTATAAATGTATTCTGTTCATTACACGGGGTCTGGTTATTTTGCAATTTCATACTTCTGGTTTTAATCACAAAAAGCAATGGTTGGTACACTGCACTGCTTTGTTGTAGCATTTCAAAAAAATTATTAAGAATAAATAGCACAGAGTCATATGAATACATATGAACATTCATGTTCTCCTTGGCCACAGCAAAAATCATTTAAATAAAAACTAGAATATCCTCAAGGCTCATCTATTGCAACACCCCGCCGTCTGCTAAGGAACACGGAGGAGAATAGCCTAGAGGATATTTTGCCTTTTGTGAAAAATGCCCTAGGGAGCAGACACTGCAGTTTACTTGCGTAAGTAAAAATTCCTTTGGGAAAAAAAAATAAAAATCATACTTTAAGTCTACAAGCAAAGTACACTTACGAAATGCAAACTTGATTTTCATACTATATACGCAAGCATGCATTTATTAGGTAATCGGTATTCCTGCTATACCTCTAGTGTTAAGTGAAAATGAACCCTTTCCCAGAGCTAAAAGGTTTGTGTAGCAAACAAAACCTGAGTTCCACTGCTTTTCCTTTGGAATTACCACTACACAACTAGACAGGTTACTAGATAGGAGATAACACACAATTCAGTTCCATTTATCTGAAAGTGGTCTGGTTTTGACCTTGGCAATTAACACTCCAAAGTGGACTTTAAAAATATTGGTTAGAAATTCAAGAGTTAACATAAAAAGTACTGGACTTCACGCTTACTGTATTACAAAAACTCAGAAGAGTCAAGAACGTTTTCGATTACTCTGGTAATTATTCCAGAAATCTTACCTGTAATTGAAATAAAACCAACTATTTCCCCAAGCAAGTTAATGTGTTATGTCTTGCACAACACAATGCGTTTCTGAATGGTGACATTCCGACGGTCAAAGAGCTAAAAGCCAATGCATCACAGCTGGCACTAGGAAGAGAAGCAGCACAACCGGATCAATACTATATTGATCCTGATGGCATTATAAACCGTGGAAGTAAGCAGACAAAAAACCCACTCAACACTACAAATGTGTGTGTGCAATTACTTTCATACCCAAAGGACAATTCACCTCTAGAAACATTTAACGTTTGCTTACAGTGAACTAGGGCTTGGAGGATGCTTAATAAAACCAATCCTCACCGCTCCCACCCCCAGCAATTGGGAGCAATGCCTTCAGCTCAATGGAAACACCATCTCTACCCATCTCTTCCTCCAGGTTCAAAACATACCCAAGGTATCCTCTGGTTTGCAAAATACGAGTTTTTACTGCTACCTAACAGCTAGTAACAGCTATTCTAAGAGTCAAAAGTTTGAGGTCACAATTCTACTGAAAGAAACCAAAGCAAAGTTTGAGGTTTTCACTGGATTATATAGAAATTAATAATTTTCAGAGATGGAGAAGAGATAATAGTAACAGAGAATGAAGGCAGGGTGAATTCAAGAGGATTAATTTAAAACTCCTCTCCCTAAACTGACCTAGGAATCATAACAGAACCTCACAAAGGTATGAATAAAGAATAATGCATCTCTTAAAATATACTTCTCAGATAATCCTAATAAAACTTGAAATAACTAAAGTTCAGTGGGTCATCAACATCCATCTTCTCCAAAGCCCTCGAAAGTTTCTAGATTAGATTTCATATAAGAAAGCTTATTAAATGAGCAGAAGGAAAGAAGAGTTGAGTATAGACTAATCTTAAAAGAAAAAACACATTTATACTGGGACTTGGGTGATCTGACAGCGTCTGTGATATCTAATTGTTAGCAACATAAAATCTGCATACTCAACTCTAAAATTTTAAGGAGTAAAATATATTAACTTTTGGCAAATTCGAAAAAGTTGTCATGGTCAAATAATTTGTCTTTAAGAAAATCAAGTTCCAAGAGGCCTTCACGGGTGGATATAAAGAAAGCACGTCGCAAAAATGCAGCCTGCAGACTAAAAAATAGATGACAGCAGCCACATCTGCACCAGGCAGAAACAAAACATGAACTTGGAAGCAGCTAAAAATAGTAACCTTTTCTATAGATCTACCCTTTTCTCTAGGAATTGATGAGCAGAGGACTGTACAGCAGCGCTGTGGATGACACTGAAAACCTCAGTGAAGAACATTCAGTCTCAATAAACCCACCTAAACAGAGATTTCTCTCTCGACTACCAGCATTTATCGAGGTTTTTTTTTTTTCCCTCTGGGGTGAGATTAATCCAACTGGTTTCACTTTGTATTTTGTATAATTAATGATCTAGGAAAGGACGGAAATTGTTCTGCCTGGTTCCAGTAAATATGAAAATTTTTAAACCAAATAAGGCTTTTATTTTATTTTTAAACAATCTGTATCAGCTCTGCAAGTCTAAGACATAAGCTACGGGTCTCCTCAGAAGACAAAGATCACTCGTACTACTTGTACAGCTGTCCGTGCACAAGCATGGTGCACAAACAAAAGATAAGCAGTTTTTTGAATAATTTAACTACAGTATTTACTAAAGTGTTCCCCACGTATAAGCAGAGATGA